GGATCTAGCGTAACAGCATATTCTGAGACTGCAATTTATATATTTGTTCTGAAATAAAGTTGAGATTATACCATAAAACTATTACAGAAGAGTATGGACAAGCCTTCATCTATCTCCGTGGTGACATCAAACTTTTTCAGATGGGAGGAATAGAAAACATTGAAAGATTCCTTTGCTACTGACCCCACACTGTTTGAGTTGCTATGATCCGCTCTGTAGGACATGCGGCTAACTGAACTAGATGAAGAAGATAAGATGCCGAATCAGAAGATAAGCAAATAGATCAGTAAAATTTGAACTTGAAAAGAGCATTTTCCTTTACGAAGTATGTCACCACTACCTTTGTCATATCCATAGTGAACATAAAAATTGCTGCTTAAATTGTTAACCGTGGAAATATGAAAAGCTTCTTCAGATAGCATTATACAAAAAAGAGAAGAGATGTAATGTATTACCAATATAGTTTCTCACACGATAGCATACCAGACAGCAGCACAAATGAAAATCAGGCCTTACAACAAAAACAACAAAACCTTGATCTCAAAATTTGGGGTATGCTCCATGGGGTTGTCTCCTCGTAAGAATTTACCACTACTATACCCTTCTCTCTTTTTCTTTTTCTCGTTTTTATTTTATTTTATTTTCCCCCCTTTTTTCTTTGACTGAAAATTGTCATTATTATATCATTATTAATTATCCATTTCAAACTTACTTCAATTTCTTATGACCTGCTAGGTAAGAGTTTATCATCTTTCAAAAAGAACATTCATCGACCTTCCTTGGAGTCTTGGACATGTCCAATTCTTCTAAAGTGATTTCTTATTTTATCAACAATAGAAATAATCTGTAAATTGAATCTTTATGGACACACTCATTTCTCATCATAGCTCTTAGTGAATTGTCCTCATTATCTATTTTATTTGAATAAATATATCACTAACAACATATTTTATCTTAATTTGCAAGTTAATGAAGAGTTAATGAATGAGAGACGAAAAGGGTCAAATTCTCATATTTTCTACCATTTATTGAGACCCAATGTCAAGACAAAAGGAGGCCCAAAAAGGCCCAAGGAACCAAGAAGAAATCGGGTCAAGAAGTCAACAAAATTTACAATTCGGTTACAAACCAATTGGTCGGTCAACTGATTGACCAATCGGTCAGCCAACCGATTGGCCAACCAATTTGTCAACCAATTGGTTCGTAATTAAATCAGTTTATGGCTGAAATTTAATCATTGTTTCCCAAGCCAAATCCAATAGCTCTTGTTCAATGTTGTAGACTATAAATAGGGGTAGAGAGAGAGGGGTTTGAGTGTGAAAAATTTTATAAAACTTCATTTAGAGAAGAAGGTTACTCTTAATTGAGAAGACCTTCCAAATTTGTAACCTTTATTTGTAATTAATAAAAAAATTACCTCTTCAATTTTTCTTTTCTTCTGTTTATTAATTGATGAAAATGAAGATGAAGATAGAGATTTACTTTCAAGGGCCAACCCTTTGCAATTTAAGTTTTTCTTTTTCTCTTTTATTTTCTTGCTTTAAAAATCTATGTTTTAGAATTTTATTTTCTTTTCTTGTGGGTAGATTAAATTTATTTTGATGCCCTATAGAATAGATTTACTTTCATGTTCTTTTATTTTTGTTATTTTTTTGTATTTTTATTTTATAGTATAGATCACTTTCTTGTATTTTTAATTTTTATAGTTTAAATTTACTTTTATGCTCTTTTATTTTTATTAGTTAGATTACCTTTATGCTCATAGTTTAGATCTTTATTTTCTTGTTCTTGTTCTTACCTTTGTACTTGTTTTTTTTTTCTTGTTTTTTTATTCTCTTTCTTTTATGCTCTCCACTCTACATTTTATTTCTTTATTTTTATTTTCCAAAATGTATAACTAAAATCTTATAGGAATTCTAAAATTATATGAAACTAGTTTTATGATTTATGGATTGCTCACTTGTGCTTAAAATGATCATGTTTAGGGTAATAAACTAGAAAACTAATTAGTAGAAGAATTTAATAATCTATGTTTATCTTGAATTATTTGATAGGTTATGCTTATGAATTCTACATTACCATCTAGATGTTATTCTTTTCATGAATAATGATTTTGCTTTGTTGATAATTTGATATGTTATACTTTTCATAAGTGGTTTGATAGTCTATGTTTAGTAAATCTGAAGTAAAATATGATAAAAAGAGAATAGTTTATAAATTCTAAATAAAATAAACTAGTGGATTCAATTCTAGATTCCTATCTTATCCACTTAATTTTCTCACCCTTTTTAGATTGATTTATCACTTGATTCCTCTTTTCTAATTTTTATTTTTATTGTTAGTTCTTTTGTAATTCTATTTCTTTTTGTTTCCTCTTTGTTCCCTTTTCCTTTTTTCTTTTCATGAATTTTCTTCTTAATTTTGTTCTTCTTTATTTTCTTTATTTTCCATCATTTGTCCACTCTCTTTCTCCCCTCTTGTTCTACTTTTCTTTTATTTTAATCACACACTTTCCTTATATCTCTCCACACTTACACTTTCACTCCTAATTATCCACACACAACTCTAGGAACCATTTTAAAATTATTCCTACATACCATCCTCGAGGGATTGACATCTTTCAATACTATAACTTGACAATTGTGCACTTACAACTTTGTTTTATTTACCCCCTATCACTCATCCATCTTAGCATCTTATTTCTCCTACAGTCATTTCCTGAACATTTGAAAGACCACAAAATAAAGTTCTGACAACTATAAATAGTTATTGAATACTCCACAAAATATTGATTGACTGTTTAGAACAAATAACAATTGTGTTCATGTATAAAATATAAACTTAAAAAAGAAAAGTGTACTTTCAAATAATACCAAGAACAAGAATGTAGACATTGCCAGCTATATTCAAGATTCTCAAGGTTGTTATTTTGAAAACATTGAGAAAAGAACATGACACGTAGGGGAGAGAAGAAAGTGACATGTGTTCCAGTACAAATTGTAGGGATTTTCAGATACTGATCTCTTAAAATCTGAACAATTGAATGATCCATACTTTACAGGTAAAGCTTCAATATACAATTCTTTGTCCATCCTTCCACAACTTTACACCATCACCTAAACTCATGTGTCCTGAAGAAACTACATATGGTTGAAACCTAAGCATCATAAGTCACATACACCCCTATCTCTATACCTTATCCAGAACCTGCCATATTCTAAGTATCTCCACCAAACGACAAATTTCATCATTATATCTATCGTTCTTTTATATCTATTGTTCTGTTAATTATTTCACGTTTGATGTTATATTTCAAAATTATATTAAAAAAATTTTATAACATGAATATGGCCTTTAACAACTAAACCTTGACCAAAATAAATCAGATTTGTCATTTTCATTATTGGCTCAAAGTGCCTACTGTTGGCACCAGAGATTGTACAATGAGACTCCTATTAAAACTTTATTAGCAAAATCGAACTATTGCTGATATAATTAGCAAAATCGAACTATTTCTGCCAACTGGCCAAAAAGATGTTGGTTTTGCTAAAATGAAGCTTTAAAATTGGCCAAAAAGGGTTGGTTTTACAAAAATGAAGCTTTAAAATATACGGGACTACTAGTCCCGTGTATTTAGTGATGTCTAATTACAACCTAATAAAGTTTAATTAGTCTTGTGTATTTTTTAAAGTTTAATTAACATTGCCAACACTAATTACACGGAACTACTAGTCCCGTATATTTTAAAAACTAAATTTTGTAAAATCAACAAAAGAGGTCAATTTTGCTAATTAAATACACAAAAAGTCGATTTTGCTAATAAAGTTTCAAAAACAATCTTTTTTTTTAATTCATTGTAAAACTGCTCATGATGGTTTAATGATTGGGATCCCTGAAAATTTATATTTGCATATAGAAAATCAACTTGCTATATTACTAATTTCTAAAGCTAATTCAACTATTAACAAAGCTAAATGAAAAAGGTAGAAATTTTTTTAAAAACGAGCTCCCAAATTAATATATTTGCAAGGATGTTCTATACTTAGATGCATGGCTCTGCATGTGACATTCCGAGGGTTAAAACTAAAAATAAAATCTAATAATGTACAAAAAAAATTTAAACCATGTATTAGAGCTCCTAAATTAATATATTTACAAGGATGTTCTATACTTAGATGCATGGCTCTGCATGTGACATTCCAAGGGTTGAAACTAAAAATAAAATCTAATGATGTTAGTTTCACTACAATGACAATATGTTTTCTTTTCGTCCATCAAAGAGAGTTGATGTGTTGCAAAAAGTTCAGCATGAAAGGAGTCTAGTACTTATGGTTAAAGCCATTATATCCTAAAATTATTCTTATTTTTGTTTTTAAGTTTATTCAATAACTAGTGTGCACCCAGTGCAAAGCACTGCGCCTATTTTTTAAGCATTGCATTTTGAACTTGTCTCCCTCTAAGTTTTAATACATTTGATTTAATTATTATATGTTTAAAATTAAAAATCATATCTACTCTTCTAAACTTAAAGAAAGATCCAAGTTTTAATACATTTGATTTAGAAATCATATCAACTCCTTTATACTAAAAAAAGGATCCAAGTTTTAATAGAGTTGATTTGCTTTACTGTTTATGATACGGTAAATATTGTTGCATGAATAGTAACATCAAGTATGGATAAGCAGATTTGATTTGCTGTTATACAACAGTAAATATTGTAGCATGAACAATACATTCAAACGCAAATGACCAGATTTGACTTAATGTTCATACTATATTATTTACTGTAGCATTTACTGTAGTATAAACAGTAAAAAAATTTGTTCTCCGTCAAGTATAGAGGAGTAGATCATATTAACAGTGGAACAGATGAACACAAGAAGGTTTCATAATAAACTGAACCCCGCACTTAAAAGTGCTTTTTCTGCAGTGCAGGTACTATATATTTGATTGCAGTGATGAAAGATTCAACTATTCCATATACAGAGAGGGATAGTGTGTATCCTGGCAAGCATGAACATTCCCATAAATGACGTAGTGATACAATGTTTTCCCTTTTCTTGTTTAGGTAGAGGTATAAAGCAAAAATAGTTACTGTGAATTAATGCTTCTCTTTACATCAGATAATGATATAAATCAGTCATCATAAAAGAGGGCCAGCCGATACCATAGCATCATAGAGATGCATATATTATATACATCATAGTTAACATTGATATTCGATATATAAATTCACTGCCTGAAATGGACGAGTACTGTGGTGTCTTCAGAATATTATATAGCAAAATCATATGAAATCATAATCGTTCCATAACATACCTGTCTTCAAGGTTCGTGGAAGTTGGGACATCCAAGCACAATGAATTGTCAACCAAAATGCTCGACCTCCTCTTAGCCAACCCCTTATAAGTCGATCACCTTTATGATGATTGAAAATACATACAATCAAAAACTCTCCAGAAGAAGAATATTAAGCAGAATCACCTACTGCCTTGTTCATATGACGAATAGCAACTGCTTTCTACAATCTGCAGCGCAGGAGGTAAATGGCTCCACAGAGGATTTTGCTAATTACTAAGAACATGGTATTTGCTTCTTACCAAGAGATCAAACAAGTTTGTCAATATTCCATAAATGATATTTGAGCCTTGTGTGAGAAACTTACCTGAGTGAACTTAAGCTGCATGAACTAGGCCTTCCAACAGCCTAATAAGCCTCCAGATTTCATACAAAGTCTCTCTTTCCATTTCTTCCCAAGATTTCAGCACCAATTCAGACCCCGTTAACATCAGGTTGACAAAATGTTGGAAGATTATTAACTGCAGGATTTGTGCACAGCATTGATCTCTTTTGAGCAGAACACAATTGATGATGAGGATGAGGATGATCTGCTAGAAAATTTGCTTTTATGCGTAATAGCTTTCCTAAATTTGAAGAGGAAAGTCTTAGATGATTGACAACGATGATGGATGCAGGTCCCAAAATATGCACATTTTGTTTATCCAAATTAAGAAAAAACAACTCATAATCTCTTCTTCAAGGCTCACTCCCAAACCCAGAGGTACATAATATTTATTCATCAGCCTGTTCTGATACTGCTTAAGACACTGGTTTTGCTGATCATTATTTAATTCACAAATAAATCTTAATGCCCCTTTAGATGTTTGAGCCATCTTTCCAGCCAGAAATCAGTTCTTAACCATTGAAAACAGCAAGACCGTACGAATACATCTAATTTCCACGACAGAGGTACACAAGCAGTGAGATTCAGCTGAAACTATAAAATAATAAGTCACTAACCAATTACTAGCCATTATACTACAGAAAGAAAGTATTCTCTAGTCTTTTGAATGAGAAAACTGAGGTATTCTCTAGTCTATCAGAAAGAAAGTCAATATAGTACATATGTACAAGGATGAAATGGAAAGTGAAATTTTATGTAGCAAGTTAGCTGGGGTAAACGTGTGGCAATACGGAGCACATATCCTGATATTCAAATCCAAATCAGAAAATGCTATTTATTATTTGAGTCCCTTCAGCATCAGATTGATGATATTTGAGTTTCCAAGGAATCCGGCAAAAGATATGTATCTGTTACTAAGATATCTTTTTCAGAAATTGCAAGTTACATATAAACTTATCTTATCAGAAATCAGGAGTGGTATTTACAGTACCAAACTCAAAGATTATTTTTTTCTAGTTTACAGATAAGGGCTCTTACATATAGTTACGTATTCTTTTTACTATATACATCAACAAAACTACAACTCGGAAAAATCCTAATGGACCGATCCAAATTCCTTTGGAGCATCTAAAAGCAAGCTATCTAACCAGAAATGACTCTGTTACCTCAATCCTGCAAAATATTTAAGCAAGAACAACACCACTTGTTTATATGAAACAGCACTATTAAGACCTTGTATCAGCATAACATAACAGATAAAAGAACGTAGTTCTCTATTAATATAATGCAATCTACTTCAGGATAGAATCCAGTTATGAACATTGATATTCACATGAAATTTTTAATGAAAAGAAATAGGTTAGATTTAAGAAACCGGCATATGTTCCACAAAGATATATGCAGGAAGCCTTTATATCAACGGAATGGCTGTAGACAGTAGTCAAACTCTTACCTTGCATGTGTACTGAGCTTATCATTCTAAAGAATGAAAGGTGGCAATAATAAGGAACAGCAAAGTGCAAACTTAAAGAACTGTGTAGCAGGTCTGGCAGAATTATATTAGTCCAAAAGAACATCTTTTAACGCTGGAAATGTAAATTAAACTAAACAACAAAGTCATATGTAAATGTACAGTATACCATATTGCACCGTTAATATTCTTGGAGATGACATTAGCATTGGAGCAAAATGAACCAAATGCATATACTACTGTATCTAAGTGAATGACAAAGGGAAGGCTAGTCTTACTTTGTATTGAAGGAGTTGAGATAAAGTAGTCCATCTTGTCTTCATGCCAATAGTAGTATAAAGTAATCCATCTTGTCCTCATTCCAATAGTAGTATAAAGTAGTCCATCTTGTCATTTTAATAATATACCAAAGTCAAAAGTATAGTACAGTTTAGCACCACTCAAAGAACAATTGGAAGAATGTTAGATATGCAAGGCAGACCCCTACATGTCCAACAGGAACTACTCCTTCGATGCACAGAATCCCCCAGGCTAGACAACTTGTGATTAAGACTAGGTCAACACCAGGCTTAATGCCACAACTATAAGCGCATATTTATACTTTCACAAAAATCAAATGATGAAAAGGCAAATCTTTTTGAAAAGAATAAATATACTGAAAGATACTTGTAGACCTCATCCATGAAAGATATTCCCAAAAGACAATGGCAACAACAACAGTATGGAATCTAGTAAAGGCATCCAAAAAGGAAGCAGAGAGATATTTGAGAACTTTTCCCCTCCCAACAGCATCAAGAATCATGAAGACAAGTAAAAAAGGCACCGGGTCTAGAAAGCATTACGTTTCAACAAAGTTGCAGAAAAAAAAAGTGAGTAAGAACAGTATATTCTCATGGCCCAACAAGCGAATCCTACATCTAAACAATACACAACCTAGATGCATATTAATCAGAATCCATTCTTTCATATATTTTAATCTGAGAGTCCTATGGTCATAAATCGTCTTAATTAATTTAATTATTTGCACGTAAAGGATCATTCTAGGACAGATTATAACTTAAAAGGCCTTGTATTAGATGGTAAATCAATTCTCAGTTTTCACTCATCAATTAGCCTCAACAAGAATGGAAAAATAAAACAAATGTACAACAAAAGAGTGAACAACTACTCTCCCTACCGCTGCTCAGTGAAAATACCCCAACTCACCGCGCCTTCTTCCTTGACTTGAATGAGAACCCACCGGGAGGTGAAGGGGAGAACTCAATTGGAAGATGAGGAGGATCAGACTGACCAGTGAGCATCCCAACGATCTCCTTAATGGATGGACGGCGAGCTGGAGACCTTTGGATGCAAAGAAGAGCAACTGTAATGCAAAGGAGAGCCTGCTCTTTGTCAATCCCCTTAATACTCGGGTCGACAAGGTCCAAAAGCCTTCCCAAATGAGCAAGATGCCTTGCCCATGAAATGAGATTCGCACGCTCAAACTCCGACATAGGTGAAGCTGTCACTTGGAGTGGGCGTCGCCCAGAGATGAGAACCAGAAGCAGAACACCAAAGCTATAAATATCGCATTTCTCAGATAAAGGACCTCCACCACCATATTCTGGTGCTACATAGCAAACAGTACCCCTCATGCTTGGGGTACTGCTGATTGTGCGACGAAACCGCCTTTGTTGTTGTTTGACAGGTTTGACATCTGTCTTGATATTAAGACGATGCACCGCTACGTTCGGATTGAGCCCTGGCATGTCTTCATAATTCCAGGCGAACACGTCGATGTACTCCCTGATTAGAGAGATTAACTCTTCTTTCTCATCGGGTAGGAGACTGTCGCTAATGAATATCGGTTTAGGATTTTCCTCACTCTTGGGGATTTCAGTGCCAGCAGCCCAATCCTGGCTTCTCCTCCTCCCTGCCATCGTCCTCTTCATCTCGCCACTGAGGCCATCCATCCACCACTCTTGACTGCCTCTGCTCCAATTCTTCTTCTTCCTCCTCTTCTTTCTCTCTGATGGCAATCCACAATCCTCATCATCCTCCTGCCACCAACGCGGGTGCTCTCCTCCTTCAATACTGCTTTTGCACTTAAGCATCCTCTTCCTCTGCTGTTTCTTGGTGAGCTCTTCACAGTACTCCTCTCGCCACCACTCCTTTGCTGGCCTGCTCTTCTTCTCCTTCTTCTCCCTCTCTTCATCCAATGAAGCCCACCACTCCAATCTCCGCTGATGTTTCCTACGCTCTGACTTCCCCAAAGTCTTCGGCAAGCAGTCCTCGGATGAAACAGTCGAGGGTCCAGTGATCCAATCGCTCTTCGGCCGTTCTTTCTTGATCTCCGAGCGAATCCATTCCATAACATAATCCTTTACCCCACCCCTCGAATCCCCATTGCCTCCTACATTACTGTCCTGCCGCCACCACCAGTCTCTACCCGTATACCCACTCTTCTTCCAGAACCCCCTTCGACTGCTCGAAGCCCCAATCTCCTTCTCGCCATCAACGCTCATTCTATCAAATCCTCCGACCTCTGAAGTCGATGCAACTTCCAATGCCATGATCGGTGAAGGAGATGATGCCATCTCGTCCCCATCAAAGCCAGCTGTTGTGGCACTCTCTGCCACAGTCTCGCCCATGACAGATGCATCATCCTCAATCTGCTCTTTTTTCCGGTCTTTCGGCGATTTAGGATCGACCCCAACAATCACAAACCTCCTCCTTCCTCGCTACCTCCTCCTCTCCTCCTCCAACTGCAGTAGCGGACTTCATCAGCACCACCAGCAGCAGTAGCTTTAAGGCGTGCAAGCCCAAAATCCGCAATCTTTGCTACGAACTGTGAATCGAGCAGAATGTTACTAGGCTTAATATCTCCATGAATCACCGAAGGATCGCAGACCTCATGCAAAAACTGCAGCCCCTTTGCAATATCCGCCGCAATCGAGAACCTCCGTCCCCAATCAAGAAGCTCCGGTGACTTTCGGCCAAGCAGCGCATCTTGAAGACTACCATTGCACATCAATTCATAGACAAGAAGAACTCTTTTCCCCAATCCGAGAGCTCCTCCCACAATCTCCTCATCGTCATCATCCAACTCTTCATTGCTCCGCGGCGCAGCATCGCACCATTTAGTTCGGCTCGTCGACAAACGAACCTATCGAACTAGACGCGAGCCCGATCTCGATGCGCGAGCAGAGGAAAGCATCTGCGGGCGACGGCGAAGGCTCGTTATGGAACTCCCCTGCCTTGAAGAGAGCCTGAATCCCATTAGTTGACGGCGACCTCCTGGCACGGAAGGGACCACGGAACACGGCCGAACCTCGCCTGGCGAGGATTGAGAGAGGGGGAGACGACGAACGTGGCTAGCGGCTGAGCTGTGAGTAGGTGAACGGCGAAGCGGGGTTCGGATCGCGAAACGGGCGGCGGCGGCGGGTTTTGAAGATGGAGCGGTCGAGGTCGGGGTTCCGTTCGAGTTGCACGGAAGCGGCGTAAGAGGATTAGGGCGAGGAGCGCAGGGACGAATAGGGCCATGGTGCAGCGGCGGCGATGCGGGCGGCGGTGGGGACGAGATCTTTGTGGTGCGGAATGAGGCGGGTGGCCGCCGCGGTGGAGGCGCGCGCGGTTGATGTGTGACATGGATCTTGATTTTTGAGCTTGATCAGCAGCTGTGATTTTGGAGACAGAAAAAGGGGAAATTTTGGAAAGTAGTTGATTTGAGATGAGAGAGGGAGAGAGGGAGGGAGCGGATTGGATCTTCAGACAAAAAGCTGATGCTCCTTTTTTTTTATTTTCCCCCTCTTGTGATGATACTGATTACTGAGATGAGGTTTGTTTTTGGCTTTTCAAAGTTTTACCTTTCATTTGATTTGATTACATTTGCGCTATAATTATTAAACACCTACAAAAAATGATATTTTCAAATGATATCTGTGTTCTTGTACTGTAGGACTTCGAACATGTGACTCGGTTTTGGTTAATGTTTTTTTTTTTCTTCAATTAACGAATTATTGTAATTGCTTTTTAATTTGGGATGGCCCATTAAAATTGGCCGCAAGTGTTCCAGACGAGTCCACAATAAGCGTCTGTGCGCTTGTGTGCAAGTTAGATCGGAGGGGTTGAGTTTATGGGAGCCAGCCAAAATCGAAAGGATTAAGTTGATAATTCTTGCACTTCATTATCAAAAATATATATATATATTTGTTTATATCGGTAAAAATAGTATTTCTTTATACATGTGACGTGATGTGATGCTTTCAAGTGAAGACTGTGTATTTTCATGCGCTCACGAACTGTCCGAATAAGATTTTTCTTAAACTAAGTCTTTCTCGAATACAAATACGCTATACTTTGATTTTTGCAGAAATATAAAATAATACTAGAAAGTTACTATTATTATATCTTAACGTCTGAAAGCAGCTTAAATGTGATCATCCACAAAGTCAAGCTAGATAAGACGAGTCGAAAACCAGCACAATTAATTTCGATTGGTCGTTCTCCGAGTGTTACTCTACAAATGCAGACGAAACTAGAATTGCTAGAACTGAAAGTTGAAGAGACGTCCAACAAATAATATTGGCAGGGTTTTCTTTGGAAAAGATTTGGATTGCGACCGATGATTTAGATACTCAAAAACTCTAGTAGGATAATAAGGGGCTGATTGTTTGCCTAAAAAAAAGTGGGAAATCAAAGAATAGGAAATCAAAGAATATGAAATCTTGTATTATGATTGTTTGGTTGGCTAAAAAAAGGAAATCAAATGATAGGAGATGAGATGAGATGAGTTGTTATCATATTATTAGATGATGTGAGTAATTTTTTAAGGGGCTGTTTGGTTCGTTTCCTAGATATAGGGAAATACATTTCCATGTACAAAAACACAAGTTTTGAGTTTTCTAAACTTTTCCAAGAAATAGATTGTTTCGCTTTGGTTCGTACAAAAAAAATGGTGGGAAACCAATGTATTTATTTTTCTTGTGTTTGGTTCGCATGAAAAAAAAAGGAAAAACTTTTGTTTATATGTCAAAAAGCTGACGTTGCTGCAGTTTTCGTCGATTTTACGAAGTTGAGAAAGGAATTGGGGAAGAAAAAAATCTAATGTGGCGGCGATTTTCACCGAGTTTCTCTTCTTCAACCCTAGCGAACCAAAGATGGGAAAAAACCGACGGAAAGCTTATATCCTACGTGGCCACGAAAAATCTGATGTGGAGGCGGTGTAAAACTTTTCCATCGAGTTAAAAAACGAACCAAACAGCCCCTAAAAAACTTGTTTTGAGATTATTTGGTTGATTAAAAAATAAGGAAATGTATTATAAGAAACTTATTTCCTATAATAGTTTCTTTCTTATATTTGGTTCATTCTTAAAAATAAGAAAATAGAGGAGATGAGATTGAAAGCATCCTAATACCACTAGAAAAGAACCCTAGAGAGGGGTGAATAGGGTTTATGCTAATCTAATCTGATTTATGCCAAATTAAAACTTACTAACAAATATATCCTAGCAAGAATGATATATTACAAATATATGTGTAAGGATATACAAGTAACACAAGGGTAAACAATCTAAACTAGATAGTGGGCAATATAAACAACAAACAATATACAAAGACAATATAAGATATGAACATAAAAATAAGTGCGCCAATGCAATCACAAACAAACGATGTGTTCACGGAGTTCGGTCCCCGCGGCCTACGTCTCCGCTCCTCACCTCGAGGAGATCTCCACTATCACACTGGGTTTTCTACGCTTACCCGAAAAACGTTTACACCTCACGATGTTGGTTTTCAACGCTCACCGATCAACGTTCACAATCACTCACAATGTAACTACACTAAACCTAAAGTGTTGGTCTCTAGCACGTATCTTCCTCAAGTGTTAGGAATTACAACCTCTCTCTAGGCATTTCCACCTACAACAGTCCTCTTGGGACGACCCCGTCTTTCACCACACACTCCTCTTGGTGTACTAGTGTATTACAAAGTGAACCTCGTAATTATAGCTCACAATACAACAAGTTTGTTCTCTACAATAGATGAGAACTCAACGTAGGCTCACACTTAATTGTTACAACTCTCACAACCCTAAATATACTATATATGAAAATACTAAAAGCTCAATGTGGGTGTGTATAACAATGAGATAAATCAAAGCTAAACTCAAATAAATTCTAGCTTATGGACATAAAAATCAAACATATAAAATAGCTAGATTGAGTTTAGGAAAACTTCTCTATATGATAACAAGAGAGAGGGAGAAGAGTAAATGCTCAAACACCAAAGGATGATCTTTACTTGTTCTTATGAAATTCTCTTCACAAACCGAAACTTGAAAAATGCTTAAAAGCTTTTTGAACAAACTTAAACCAAACTTTAAAACCCTTGTTAAACTCTCTTAAAACATTCTCTTAGTTATTTTTGGTCTGAGGTATGAGGGGTATTTATAGAGACCCCAAAACACAAAAAAACAAAGCAAAATGATCAAAAACCCAAAACTGGAACATGCTGGAAAAACTAGCCGTTACAGCATCAGTCAACTGACGGCTTTCATCAGTCGAATGATGAACTGACCGTTAGAGGTGTTTTCCAGCTCATCAGTCGACTGACGTACCTTATCAGTCGACTGATAACCTCATCAGTCGACCAAAACAAAACAGAATTTTTTGACAACTTTAGGCACTTTTATCAGTCGACTGACCAGTCGACTGATAACAGATATATAGCCTGTTTAAAACAGAAATCTGATTTTTAAACTGCCTTAAAAAATAGCAAACAAATTCAGAAAATTATGAAACTTTGGAAAATGATTGTAAACATGATAATACACATATGTTACAAAAACTGGTTTTCAAATAGCATCTCCTAAATGAGAAATCTCTTTATTTTTTAAAATAGTCCAAAACATAAAAATGAAACATACTTGTTTTGACATTTTGACTACACCATGTTTTGAAACTTCATAAACTGATTTCATAGACTTAATAAAAGATCTATGTTATGATTGTTAAGTCTATAAACTAATAAAACAATATTTTCACAAAATCATTTTTGTATAAACTTGAAAACTATAAAACCAAAACATATATATATATATATATATACCTGATTACAAAAGAGAGGAGAATGAATCTGATTCTCCCCTTTGTTTAATTCTGGGTTCTTCACGGTGGCGATGAGATGCCTCCCTCGAATGCTCGCGTTGAGTTTGCTTCTCGTTGACGATCCGACGTCTTGTTTCACTGGAACATGATCTTCTCCTCATGATTTGACGTTGTGGAGAACTTGCGTGGCAAGTTTTAGAACTCTTGATGAGTTGATTGATCTTAACTGTAATCGGTTAGACCAGCCAAGGATCTCTTCTTTGCTGCCAAAAAGAAGGATGAAAGATCTAGCAGACCGAACCCCGAACTGAATTGATTTTCAGTTATTTATAGGGGATTAAGAGGTATAATCGCCCCCTTAATTCGCTCCTAAGTGGGGCTAATGGGATGTAACCGCCCCCTTAAATCACTCCTGAGTGGAGTTGTGATCCCCTCAGATCGTGGAAAACGGTTTTGAAACCGTTCAGCTCGTGTTTGAACGAGTCAAACGCAGGCCCGCGTTCTGGCATGAATTCTGTGTCCAAACGCAATGCCTAAAAGCTTGAACGCAGCATCTGGAAGCTCGGACGCAGCGTTTGGAAGCTCATTTGCAGCGATTTAAGAGCTGCGTTTGGCAGCGGATCTGAGCTACGTTTGTACGATTTAAGAGCTGCGTTTGGCAGCGGATCTGAGCTGCGTTTACAGCAATTTGGAAGCTGCGTTTGTACGATTTAAGAGCTGCGTTTGGCAGCGGATCTGAGCTGTGTTTGCAGCTTTTGGAGCTGCGTTTGAGCTGCGTTCGTGGCTATGAACGCGGTGCATCTTGATGCTGGTACGCGGGGAGGACTTCCACGTCTTGATTTGAAGAGACCGTCGATTTGTAGTCTCTTTCTGTCAAAGCGTTGCAAAGATCGTTGTTTTGTAATCTTTTCTTTAGCTCTTTGATATGTGAGAGTCGTCAGATTGTAACTCTCGATGTTGATTGTGAAGACTGTTGATTAGAGCTTTCATCAGTTGTTGCGAAGGTCGTCAGATTGTAACCTTCATCAATCCACGTGAAAGTCTTCAAATTGTAGCC